ACTGTCTTCGCAACGACCACTTCGTTAAGACATGCAAATCGGGCTCTTGTCGAGAGTGCTCAGGGAGGCACAACACCTTGTGTCACCGGCCCAAGACGGAAGGAAGTGCTCTAGTCAGCGGAGGCATCGAAGGTCAGACGGATCCGAGCGCAAGCGACAAGACGAGCGGCAGCCCTGCCGTTCACCACTCAATGAACGCACCTGCCAAAAGGCACGTGCTTATGGCCACTGCCGTGGTTAACGCGATAGCTCCTAATGGAACCATTGTCCCACTGCGCGTTCTGCTCGACAGCGCGAGCGAGGCGCACTTCATTACGCACGCGGCATGCAATCGACTAGGAGTCAAACGCGATCGAACTAACGAAATTGTGACGGGCCTAAGCGGAAGCAAGAACGTTGTAAGTCAATATTGCGAGATTGTTGTGCAGTCAAGATATTCGGACACTCGGGTCATTGTACGCAGTCTCATAGTACCGAACATTACCAAGCAGCTACCGTCGGTAGAAGTAGATCGTAACTCGTTTGAAATACCGTCAAATGTTAAACTCGCGGATCCGGAATTCTACAAACGCGGTGCCATCGATATGCTAATTGGATCGGAACTGTTTTACGAATGGATGGAGCTGGGGAAAATCGAGCTCGGCGACAACCGTCCAGTGATGCAAAATACCAAACTCGGCTGGATAGTTGCGGGCACATTCTCGCACCCGTCCATCGCGTCTCTCTTCTGTGATCGCACTGCAATAACGACCCTGGCGTGTTCGGTGGATCACTGTGAAACGTTAAATCAGAACTTGAGTAGATTTTGGGAGATTGAGAACTATCGGTCAAATACCACTCAATCGCAATCGAAGGAAGTTTTAAGGAGCAATGAGTTATTTGAGAAAACAACGACTCGCACCGACAGCGGTCGATTTGTGGTGCGACTTCCGTTTATCGATGATCCAAAAACGCTGGGCGAATCGCGGGAAATTGCTTACAAACGATTAACGCAGCTAGAGCGGCGTTTCGGTAGAGATAAGGTTTTGCGCGAGCGATATATAGATTTCATGAACGATTACCTTAAGTCCGGACACATGTCGTTAGTGACCAAACACGAGCGGAACATCGAACAACCCACAGTCTACTTGCCGCATCACGGCGTTATTAAGGAAACAAGCACAAGTACAAAACTTCGCGCAGTTTTCGACGCGTCAAGTAAAACGAGCTCCGGCAGATCACTAAACGATATTCTGCTCGTCGGACCTACGTTGCAAAGCAATTTATTTGATGTCATCGTTCGTTTTCGGTTTTATAATGTCGCAATGACCGGAGATATTCGGCAGATGTATCGGCAGGTACTCGTGCATGAAAGGGATCGAGATTATCAAAGGATACTCTGGAGATCGTCTCCAGGCGATTCGGTGCAAGAATTTCGCTTAAACACTGTTACATATGGACAAGCCAGTTCGGCTTACCTAGCCATAAAATGTATTTACAAACTCGCGGAACATTGTGAGCGGAACTTTCCGATAGCGTCGCGAATATTGCGCGAGCAAACGTATGTTGACGACATCTTGGCGGGTGCCGACAACGTGAACGACGTGGTTATACTGCAGGAACAACTCGCAACGGTGCTAAGGACTGGAGGATTTGAAACGCATAAATGGTGCTCCAATCGTCCGGAGATTACGGACAAGATATCGTCATCATCGAGGGAGGATACGCCTAATCTCAGCATCGACACAGACGGCACCATAAAAACACTCGGGCTTGAGTGGAACCCCAAGGAGGATGTATTCCAGTTCATCGTGCGCAGAGCAGAAACGGTCAACACCAAGCGCGAGATTTTATCAGCGATCAGCAAGCTGTTCGACCCTCTCGGACTCATTGGACCTGTAATCACTTCGGCAAAGCTCATTATGCAGCAAACGTGGAGAACTGATTGCCGTTGGGATGACCCTCTGCCTGACCAACTTCTGGAGAAATGGGAAAGATTTCGGCGGGACTTAAATGCCGCCGAGGTTGTCGTCATTCCGAGACCGATAGCTCCAAACAAGAATGCAGCGAAGCTCTATTTGCAGGGATTTTGCGACGCGTCTGAGCACGCGTACGGAGCATGCATCTTCGTTCAAGAAAGAGGCGAGTGTGGAACGATCGCCTCGAGACTGCTGTGCTCCAAGTCGAGGGTAGCACCAACCAAGCCGACATCGATACCCCGCTTGGAACTGTGCAGCGCGGTGCTGCTCGCTCATTTGATGACGGACGTTCAAGGCATGATAAATGCGAGCATCGAGGGTATCCAAGCGTGGTCGGATTCCCAGGTCGTTTTGTGGTGGATTCGCGGCGATGCGACACGCTGGAAACCTTTTGTGGCACACCGCGTAGCCGAGATCGTCGAACTTCTACCGGCAGACCATTGGAACCACGTTAGGGGAGTCGAGAATCCTGCCGACGTGATCTCAAGGGGCGCGACTCTATCTCAACTCAGGGACTCCAAGCTATGGTGGTCAGGACCTCAGTGGTTGAACGAAGAGAGCCCGTCAGTATCTGAAACTCCCATAGTATTCGAGCCATCTCTCGAATTGGCGGAAGAAATTCGAGCCGAAGAGCGAGCGAAACCACGAATTTGCGCACTAATTGAAACAAAGAATTTAGTCCTGCAGGACTTAATCGACAGGTTTTCATCGCTAACTCGAATCGAACGCATAACTGCTTACTGCTTACGTTATGTATCTAACCTGCGGAGGAACCCAGACGAACGAGAGCTGTCAAGGTTAACCGCTGTTGAAATTCGAAACGCTCATTTGCTTCTTATTCGACACGCACAGGCAGATGAATTCTCTAACGATATAGCTGGTTTGAGGCGGGGAGGCAAGTTGAAGTCGACAAGTAAAATCTTACCGTTGCACCCGTTTCTAGACGAACAAGGCGTACTCAGGGTAGGCGGACGCCTCCAGAATGCATCATGGACCTTTGCGAGGAAACATCCCATAATATTGCCAGCGGGCAATCGACTATCAAGATTGTTGCTCGAGAAAGAGCATTGCCGGTTACTACACGCAAGTCCACAGCTCCTGCTGTCCTCGGTGAGAGAGCGGTACTGGCCTATGAAGGGACGCAGCTTAGCCAGACAAGTTTGTCACGATTGCGTTGTCTGCACCAGAAACCGACCGAGAAGGTTAACTCAAATGATGGCTCCTCTGCCTGGAGATCGAGTGCGCCCCAGTCGAGCATTCGCAATAGTCGGCGTCGATTTCGCCGGCCCTTTGGTAACTCTCGTCAACAAGGGACGAGGTCGAAGAACGAACAAATCGTACATTGCATTGTTCGTTTGTCTAGCAACCAGGGCTATTCATCTGGAGGCTACTAGCGAGCTCTCCACCGCAGCCTTTTTGGCGACGTTGCGCCGGTTTATTGGAAGAAGAGGACGTCCAACCAAAATATACAGCGACAATGCCACGAATTTTGTCGGCGCTGACCGTGAATTGAAGGAGATGTATCAATTCGCTCGCGCTCAGATGGAGGGCGACTCCGGAGAAGCTCTCTCAAATGAAGGAATCGAATGGAGTTTTATCCCTCCCCTCTCTCCGCACATGGGGGGGATTTGGGAGGCAGGAGTAAAATCCTGTAAGCATCATCTGAAACGGGTGATGGGAAATGCTCT